TTTATGAGTTGCTTATTTTCCTAAGGTTTGAGATTGTTGTGAGGCCATGAATTATGGAAGATTATTTTGGGAGAAGGATAAGAGAGTATATTCTATTGTTATAAATTTATTAGGGGGGAAATGGACTAACTAACATGACATAGTACCTAAACCCAAATTCATGTAGCTTTTTAAATGACCCCACTGTCCCACTAGATAAGGAACAAACTCAAACAAGTGAAACTAGAATATCAACTAATTGTCTAAACGGATCAGATGGCCAAGAAATTCAAAATTCCACATCAATTAAGTCAACAACTCGGCTCAAAACTTTGTCTAATTAATTTATGACTAAAGTCACTTAATGGAATTACATGTCTTAAACCTCTTTTTAATTAAGTCCAAATCCTTCTTAGTCTAGTACCGATAAATCTTACTGTCTCATCCAATATAAACATATATCAACAAAATTGCTTTTGTATTTAAAGCAACAAACATTTTCCATATATGTTTAGTTATAATTAGATCTACTGATTCAAAGGCATTAAGTTGACAAAAGACAAGAAAACAAACAATCATCACATTTAAAAAATAGAATATTCACATGGCTAAAAGACGAAGAAATAAACAGCATATTAAAAATTGGTGAGGGAAGTAAAAATATACCTTGTATTGATTGGATCCAAACTTTAAAATTGCTGCTGCGCAACAATCAAACCAAGAGCAGCGACTACAACTGAGAACCTCCAACGGCACAACCTTGTCGGAAGCACGAAATTGACTGAAAAGTGGAGAAGTTTCAGGGTTGTTTCTTAGCTGATGTTTATGGGGTTGAAAGGTTATGGAGGAAACTGGTTTGTTGGGTGGAGATGGGGGATTGTTTCAGCTGGGTTTTTCAACTGGTTTTGGTAGCATTTTTTGAGCTGATTTTTGTGGAATGAAGCTGGTTTTAGAGCTTGGTTTCAGGTGTGTTTTGGTGTTGATTTTGGGTGGAAAAAGGGCAGCATTTTGGACTGTTTTACAGCTGATTTTCGCTGCTCTTCCTAGCTGTTTTCACAGCTTGTTTTGCTGCTCTTTAGTGTGGATTTTGAGGTGTTTCATGGTGTATTTTGGGGTGGAGATGAAATGATTTTTTGGGGGTGATTTTAGTGATGTTTTATGGGTGTTTTTAATGGCTAAAAATTGCTCCCGTTTTTTGAACTTTTCTTGGATGCTTTGGAGGAGTTTTGGTCGAGGAATGAGGCTAGGAGAAGAAGAGGTAGGCGCTAGGATTTTCCTCCGTTGGTCTCTGTTTTTCATCCCCTTTGTGCAGTGTGTGTGCGCTCTATAACTGATGTGAGGAAGTGGGGATGATTTATGAGGGAGACGTGAGGGAGAGTGGAAGTGAGTGTGTGCTAGTGTAAAGTGATGTGAGGGAGTTGGGGGGAAAAGGGATAAAGTGAGTGTGTGCTAGTGTAAAATGACGTGAGGGAGTTAGGGAAAAGGGGGTAAAGTAGTGCTAGTGTAAAGTGACGTGAGGGAGTTGGGGAAAAGGGATAAAGTGAGGTATTGGTGAGATAATGGGATATAATTTTCTTAAGTAACACTTATAAAAGGTGAAATAAGAGCTAAAATATGTAGATTAAACTTAAAATATACTTACCTACTAAAAAGTGGGAGAAAATTCAAATATTGTAAAAAATTAGGTGCTCACAATTATTACAATAATAAAAATCAAAAAGCAGAACATACACGTGCTTAAAATTGCAGCTTCGCGAAAATTCCAAAAAGAAAATAAAGGTACTGCAGAGTCTAGAGCTACAATTTGAAGGGCAAGCGTATAAATAGACGTAAGCAATAAGCCCTAGTAAGAACAAGTTCAAGAAACTATTCATTCAAAACCTAATTAGGGCAACAAAAAGAAATGAATCCAGCTGATAATGCAACCTTCTCTTTCTCTGATCTTGATTTTCTGGACTCTATTGACCACCATCTTCTGATTAATTCCGATTTTTCGAACAGTTTTTCGCCGATGAGTTCGAGCAACGTCGCAACTCCTAATAGTCCTAGTTCAAGTTTTGGCAGCTGCCTTTTGGATGAAAACATTGAAGAAACAACAACTCCCGAATCTCAATCCAAGCCCGAGGAGCAAACGCAGGGCGGAAAGGCGGCGCGTGAGAGAAACACGAATCAAGATTGGAGGCGGTACATAGGAGTGAGACAGCGGCCGTGGGGAAAGTTTGCGGCGGAAATAAGGGACCCCGACAGGAGAGGTGCCAGACTGTGGCTAGGAACTTATGAGACCCCAGAGTAACGCTTACGATCAAGCCGCTTTCAAAAGGTATATGTTCTCTAAGAAGCTGAAAATATTAACTCTAATTCTTTACTTTATAAAGCTATCAATAATTTCAACTCATTGCAAGTAAATCTCCATTCTGTAAACGTTTAACCATGTCAATGAAGGAGTATAAAGTATTCAATGTTTAATGATTTGCAAACTGATATTCGGCAATCAATTCCGGTTTGTAATGATCCACATTAGTTTCTCATTTCAATAATATCCGGTCTTCTTTAGCAATAAAGAAAAATAACAACAACAACAACCCAGTATAATCCCACTAGTAGGGTCTGGGGAGGGTAGTGTGTACGTAAACCTTACCCCTACCCTGGGATAGAGAGGCTGTTTCCAATAGACCCTCGGCATCCTTCCCTCCAAGAACTACCCACCTTTATTCTTGGGGTGACTCGAACTCACAACCTCTTGGTTGGAAGTGGAGGATGCTTACCATCATAGCAATCCAGGGTGACCAGTGTAGGCTTCCTCTTCACTTCTGCAATTTTGAGAAACAAAAAAAACCATAATCATATGGAATCTTCTCTAATATTGCACATGCATGTCTGACAAATTTCAATTATTGAATACTTTTTAATTCCCGTATGATGCTGTACTTGAAATTATATAATAATCAAGGTTCCTTTTGTACTCTTTTTAAATTATCGGATGTGTTTTTCTAACAATCATAAAGCCACGGAGGTACTAATTGCTAAGAAGTTGCCGAACAAGTTTTAGGATATTCGCAAAAAGTGTCAAAGCTCCCCCATATAAAATTAAAGTCGATGCAGCTCGTCTTTAATTAACAGATATTTAAGTGAATTATCTATCCAGCTGCTACACTTTGTTGTTATATATGATGCTCCACCAACTGGAAACGAAAATGAGAAATCAAATAGGCCTTGAAATATAATCATGAATTTGCTGATATTCTAAAGGTCGTCCCAGTAAACAAATTATAAAGAGAAGAATCCATAGTAAAAATTTATTTAAGCATTAAATACATCTTCAACGAAAGATGAGCCGTAAAAGACATAAGTAGCCACACCTCTTTAATTTTGATTTCTATTTCCTGTGTAATATCGTGTGCTAGTATTATATCCTCACGAGTTCACATTTCGAAAATGTACTGGACATTTCTTTCTTGAAATGGAAAATTAAATGCTTCTAAAATTTGACAGCTCATGTTATCAGAAAACCAAAGAGGTTTTTGAGAAAAAGCTATACATATACTAGGTTTTTTCTACAAATAAATATATATCTCTGTTTTAAAAACTAAAACAGAGAGAATAAAATGTTAGGATAATAAAAACTAAAAAGCATAACATACATGTGCTTAAAATGGCACCTGTATAGAAATTCCAGAAAAAAAATAATGATGGTAGGGGACCAGAGCTACAGTTATAGGCCAAGCGTATAAATAGACGTACAGTATCAACTGTTCCATTCATCCAGAATTAATAAACCCTAGTAATTAGAGAAAGTGCAAGAAACATTTATTTCAAAACTCTAGAGAAAAGAAAATGAATCCAGCAGATATAACCTTCTCTTTCTCTGATTTTAATCTCCTTGAATCCATAAAGCAACATCTTCTAAATGATTCAGATTTTTCTGAAATTCTTTCGCCAATGAGTTCAAGTAACGCATTGCCTAACAGTCCTAGCTCAAGTTTTGGCAGCTCCCCTTCAGCAGAAAATAGCTTCGAAACCTCCTTTTGGGATGAAAAATTTGAGGAAACAATACCAAATCTCGAAGAAAAGTGCGAGTCCGAGGAGGAAACGAAGGGGAATGTGGTGGCGCGTGAGAAGAACGCGCCGCAAGATTGGAGGCGGTACATAGTAGTGAAACGGCGGCCATGGGGGACGTTTTCACCGGAGATGAGAGACCCCGATAGGAGAGGGGCAAGACTGTGGTTAGGAACTTATGAGACTCCTGAGGATGCAGCATTGGCTCCGCTTTCAAAATCCGCGGCTCGAGAGCTCCGCTCAATTTTCCTCACTTAATTGGCTCAAACATGCCTAAGCTGGCTAGAGTTACAGCGAGGCGTAGTCGTACACGCTCACCCGAGCCATCGTCTTCTTCGTCCACCTCATCATCAGTAAATGTAACAAGAAAAAGGAAAATAGATGTGATAAATTCCATAGCCAAAGCTAAATATGGTTGGAACCTCCAGATGTTAATATAACTATATTTGGAAGGGTATATATTTAGTGTTTTAGTATTAGAATAACGTTTTTAAATTTTTTGACACTACAACATTTTAGTTTTATTGGGTGGCCAAAACAAGCGTAATCTTTGACCTAAGGGCACGTTTTTTAACTATTGCCTTACAAGCCACGCTTAAAAGCGTGGCTTATTTGATAACAAAGACAACGCTTACTACACCCCATATGTAATATTTTTATACCTTACAGCTAAGCTGTCCAACGGGACGGGAGGATATTTAGCCGGGACAGTGGCAAGACGGGCCTAAACGGGACGAAACGGTAGGCCCATCCCATCCCGCTACCGAACGAGAAGGGACGGGACGGTTTCGCGGACCTTAAGTGGGCTGATTTTTAAAAATATATATTTATTTAACCATTAAGTTTGGCAACGTCTAGTTTTTTTACTTATTTAATAAACTTAAAACTTAATAAATTATAAGAAAATTAGGAAACTAAGTAAAAAATTATAAAATATTAAAAAAAGACTTGTAATGAAATATTTTAGTAATTATAATAGAGTTGTAATTTATTTAATATAATTTCAAGCCATTAAGTAACTAAGTAAGAGTGTAAGACAATTCATAAAAAGAATTCAAAGCTTAGAGCCTTTTATTTTATTAATAGAAGTTTCAAATTTCACATACAAATATAATTCTTTTGAAAAGCACATAATCTACGCAGCCACCTTCTAGGAAGGGTTCTATTTGATCTAGGCCTCTTAGTAGCCAATTATAAATTATCATACTAATATTTGTAAGCTCATATATAGTTTCGTTGTAACTTATCTATAATTTCTCTCGGACATTGTCTGTTGTTGTAAAAAGTTAGAACCCCCGCCGGATCCACTAGGAGCGCCAGTACCGGTGCTAGGATCTGTAATTTTTCCGGCTTCTATTTGAGCTTGCATCCATAAAGAATTGTGCTCCTTAAGTAAGTGCCTGGCTAACCCCCCCGTCCCACCACTAGTCTTGTGTACAAATCGTTGCTTACATTTTTCACGTATAGCACGTTGATTGACTTTATCATGTTTAAAAAATTTTCATACAAGTGATGTTTTTGGCACGTTCACCCTTAGGCTTGCCCCTTACAGGTGGTACCGGGGGTAAAGCTCCAGACCGAGATTGACTCTGAGTTAGACCTTGTGTTGCAGGACTAGTGGGTGTTTCATCTAATTCTTCTTCCTCATTTTCTTCATCCTCAATAAAAATATCATTGCCAAATTGTCTTTGTAAAGTTTCATGATCTAGTTGTTCTCCGAAATTAATATTATAACATGCAGGGGGTTGAAAAAATAAAGTTTTATCAACATAAGTCATTTCATCTATATATTTTCTAATTCTTGGAGAAGGATTAGGATTAGGATTAGGATTACTACTACTATCACCTTTACTACTTTTTTTAAATAGGCCAAATACATTTTTAGGTGCCATAATTTAAATATGAAATCAAATTAAAAAAGTTAACACAAAAATTAAACACACAAATGAAATACGAAATTAAATTTAAAAAGTTAACACAAAAATTAAACACACAAATGAAATACGAAATTAAATTTAAAAAGTTAACACAAAAATTAAACACACAAATAAAATACGAAAATAGAACAAGTAAAGTAAACACAAAAATTAAGCACTAAATTTGCAATGGAGGTCGTTGCCCAATGGCTATATTACAATAAAAACAATTTAAAAAACACGTGGGACAGGCGGGACGGGACGGAAACGGGATAAACAGGACGGGATAAACGGGACGAAATGGGAATCCCATCCCATCCCTTGTACCGTTTAACGTGGGCCCATCCCGTTTAGATTTAAGTGGTCCGTCCCGTCCCGTTGGACAACCTTACTTACAGCTAGGAGTGGCAAACGGGCGGGTCGGATCGGATATGAATCGGGTCAAAAACGGGTAATGAAAAAATGGATAAATTATCCGACCCGACCCATATTTAATACGGATAAAAAACGGATTAACCGGCGGATAATATGGGCAACCATATTATCCATCACTTCTTGAATATGATCACTTTTGGGAGAATTCCTAGTCTCCCAAACTTGAGGAACCCTCATTGTTCTCTTTACTTGTACGCTGCAAAGTATATTAGAAGAAATAAATAACAAACATCAATACAACAACAACAACAACAACAACGGCGATCGAGTAAAATTCCACTAGTGGGGTTTGGGGAGGGTAGTGTATACGCAGACCTTACCCCTACCCCGAGGAGTAGAGAGGTTGTTCTCTTTATTAGGAGTATACCTTACCCCTAACAAACATCAATGTATTCTAAAAAAGTATGTAAAGAAATGAAAGTCATATTTTTTACAAAATATCGAATAAATATTACTGATGCCACACACACTCTTGCAAAATTAATAGGTCTCATCAGATGCCTCCAATTTTATTTTTTCTTGTTTTCATAATTTAATTTGCACATGGCCTAGCACCAAATTTCTAGAAAATGATCAAGACTCATCGCCGATAAGACCTACTTCCTCTTCATTTTTTTGCAAATTTCTCCTTCTCCTTGTCTTCTTCCAATCATATGTGAAGTGTTAAGAACTTCCTTCAAAGACAACTAGATCATGGATTTGTGCATAGGTAATTTACCATTTCCTTGTTGTTGAAAAGACTCCTTAGATTGAGTTAACCTTTATCTACTCTTTCCTTCTCTTGCATTTGATATTGTGGGCATAAGATGCTTCCATTTATGAGTTACTGGTGCTTGCTCTTTCACAACTCTATACTCCTTATCATGAGCTAGTTTTTCTTTTTTAATCTGAAATTGCTTGGCCAATTCAGCACTTGATCGAAACTGAAAATCAAAACCTATCTTCTTCATAGGACTTTGAGCTTTGATTCAAACCCTTTTTCTTTGCTCCTCAATACATTCTCATAAAGAGGAAAAATATTAATTAGAAAATACCGAAATACAGAAAGCAAAAGAT